TAAATTGTACTTGTAGAGACTGTTTAGTTGGTGTATGTTTTGTTGTGTATATTGTCAACAACAATAAAATAAATGTGTTCTTGTTGTTGTTAGGTGCCGTCAAGTCACCTCTGGCTCACAGCAATCCTACGTACAACAGAATGAAACACTGCCTGGTCCTGTGCCAGCCTCACGATTCTTGCCATAACTGAGCCCTTCACTGCAGCCACTGACTGTGTCAATCCATCTTGTTGAGGGCCTTCCCCTTGTTTACCCTCCACTTTACCAAGCATGATATCCTTCTCCAGAGAATTGTCCCTTCTGACAACATGACCAAAGTAGGTGAGACAAAGTCTAGCCGTTCTCGCTTCCAAGGAGCATTCTGGCTGCACTTCTTCCAGGACAGAGTGGTTACTTCTTTTTGCAGTCCGTGGTACTTTCAGTATTCTTCACAACAAACATAACTCAAAAGCATCAACTCTTCTTCAGTCTTCCTTATTCACTGTCCAGCTCTCACATGCATATGAGGCGAATGAAAATACAATGGCTCAGGTTAGGCACACCTTAGTCTTCAAGGAGACATCTTTGCTCTTCAGCACTTGAAAGAGATCTTTTGCAGCAGATGTGCCCAATGCAATATATCGTCTGATGTCTTGACTGCTGCTTCCATTGGTGTTGACTGTTGTTGTTGTTGTTGTGCCATTGAGTTGCACCCGACTCTTAGCGACCCCTACTTGGGTTTGCGAGGCAGTATCACTACGGAGGTAGATTGCCCAACCTTCCTTCCAAGGGTGTTGATTGTAGAACCAAGTAATACAAAGTCTTTGACAACTTCAATCTTGTCTCCATTTATTGTGATGCTGCTTATTGGTCAAGTTGTGAGGATTTTTGTTTTCTTTATATTGAGTTATAATCCATACTACAGACTGTAGTCTTTAATCTTCTTCATCAGTGTTTCAAGTCATCCTCACTTTCAGCAAGCAAAGTTGTATTTTCTGTGTATCACTGGTTGTCAATGTATCTCCCTCCAATACTGACGCCATGTTCTTCTTCATATAGTCCAGCTTCTCAGACTATCTGCACAGCATACAGATTTAATAAGTACAGTAAAAGGATACAACCCTGATGTACTCCCTTCCTGATTTTAAACCATGCAGTATCCCCTTGTTCTGTTCAAATGACAGCTTCCTGATCAATGTACAGGTTCCTCATGAGTACAATCAAGTGTTCTGGAATTCCCATTCTTCTCAATGTTATCCATATTTGTTATGCTCCACAGTCAAAAGTGTTTGCATAGTCAATAAAACACAAGTAAACATCTTACTGGTATTCTTTGCTTTCAGCCAAGATCCATCTGACATCAGCAATGATATCCCTTATTCCACATCCTCTTCTGAATCCAGCTTGCATCTCTGGAAGTTCTCTGCCAATATACTGCTACAATTGTTTTTTAATTATCTTCAGTAAGATCTTACTTGTGTGTGACATTAATGATATTGTTTGATAATTTCCACACTGTGTGGGATCACCTTTCTTTGGAATGGGTACAAACATGGATCTCTTCCAGTCACTGGCCAGGGAGCTGTCTTCCAAGTCTCTTGGCATATTCAAGTGAGTGTCTCCAGCATGGCATCTGTTTGTTGAAACATCTCAATGGGTATTCCTTCAATTCCTGGAGGCTTGTTTTTCTCCACTTCCTTCAATGCAGCCTCAACTTCTTCCTTCAATACCATTCGTTCTTTATCATATGCCACCTCCTGAAATGGATGAACATTGACCAATTCTTTTTGGTACAGTGACTCTTGTGTATTCCTTCCATCTTCTTTTGATGCTTCCTGCATCATTCAATATTTTGCCCATAGAATAATTCAATACTGTAACTCGAGGCTAATTTTTTCTTAAGTTCTTTCAGCTTAAGAAATGCTGAGTGTGTTCTTCCCTTTTGGTTTTCTAACTCCAAGTCTTTGCACATTTCATTATAATTACTGACTTTCTTCTCGAGCTGCTCCTTTGACATCTTCTGTTCAGCTCTTTTATCTTGTCATTTCTTCCATTTGCTCTTGCTACTCTCCATTCAAGGGCAAGTTCCAGAGTCTCTTCTGACATCCACTTTGGTCTTTTCTGCCTTTCCTTTTTTAATGACCTCTCACTCTCTTCATGGATAATGTTCTTGATGTCATCCCACAATTCCTCTGGTTTTTGGTCACTCGTGTTCAATACATCAAATCTATTCTGTACATAGTCCCTAAATTCAGGAGGGATATAATCAAGGTCATATTTTGGCTCTCGTGGACTTCTTTTACTTGTCTTCAGCTTCAACTTGAACGTTCATACGAGCAACTTACACAGTCAATTCCTGGCCTTGTTTTGGTTGAAGATATTGAGCTTCCCCATCATCTCTTGCCACAGATGTAGCCCACCTGATACCTGTGTACTCCATCTGGTGAAGTTCACGTGTATAGCTGCCATTTTGTGTTGTTGAAAAAAAAAGTATTTGCAATAAGCAGTTGGTCTTGCAAAATTCTATCATGTGATCTCCAGCGTTAGTTCTATCACCAAGGTCATATTTTCCAACTACTGGTGATTCTTTTTGTTTCCAATTTTTGCATTCCAATCACAAGTGATAATCAACACATCTTGATAATCAACACAACTGTTATCAAACTAAAAGAAGCATGCGGCAAACCATACAGATGATAAAGTGTAGCTTATAAAATAAAATTTTGCTTGAATAACTAAATGACATGACTGCTTTATCATTAAATTCTATGCAGAAATAGCTGTCAGGATCTGATAAAAATCTGAATAGAACCTGCACTTTTATGGCCCCAATTACATGAGCCTTAAAATTTAACAATATATTATTAATCTTTCCTCAACAGGACTGTCATATGGTTTGAGAATCATATCTTACCATTTGGCACAGTGGACACTAACTTATTATATTCTAGTTGGTAGATTAATTGCTCTTCCATTCAAATTCTTAAATTTAATTTTATAACTGAAGGCCTAGATTCCATTGAAGGTATCTTGCCTTTTGCCCCTACGCAATAATCTCTAAACAAGCCTAAACTGATGGTAATCTTTCCAGGCTACAAAAGCTTCTCAGAGAGCTCCCTTTTTGACTAGTCTATGATCAAAGCTGGCAATCCTAGCTTGTCCTAAAGTACTCCTTTTAGCCATTCAAAGCTCCCTTGCCACAGATGAACTTATTGGCCTTTGATCTGTCCTCCAAAGAGAAAAATAATAATTAATAGGACCTTTGATAACACATGACCACTCCAACTAACTCTAAAACTCATAGTATTTTCTTTAGGTATCTTTTTCATTCCCTCTCATCAAGGAGATGAAGGCGACTATGTACTTACCACATTGAAGCATACAGAAAGAACACTAAGTTAGTGTTACTTCTTATCATGAAACTTGATGATTCCTAATCATAAAACTCAAGTTCTAGCCCTAACTTTCTTTAAATATGTGCCTTTGAACGAGTCATTTTACCTCTACATGTCCCCAGGGACCTTATCTGTAATATATGGGAACTGGGCTAGATCACTCAGAAGCACCAACATTTATGATTCTATAAAACCTTAAGATTTCTAATATGGAACAAAAGATTTGATGTATGGATTTTATCTGTAAGCTTTCATATAAGCAATCTAATACATAATCATTTTGAAGATATGAATATCTTTAATGAGGCAAAGCAAACAAGATAAAGGAGATTTAAGATAGTTTATCATGGAAAAATGATAAAAGGAGTAACTCTCATAGATGATTAATGTTTTTTAGAAACTATAACTAAACATACAAAACGGGTTTATAGAACCAAAAGACACATTTTTAGTTTATCTATAATTTCATATGATACACACACACACACACACACACACACGTCACTCAACTTAAGCAGAACGACAGGAAATAATGTTTATAACACTCTCCTTATGGGTTTATATGCTATATAGTGTCTTTGAACTTACGGGAAATCCCTAGGTTAATGGGTAAGAACGGGATCTTAAACTGTGTAAATTTATTTCAAAATACTATACAGAAATAATGGAAAAATAAACTATTTATGGTCTCTTGCTCATATTTAAAAAGGGTACTTATAAAATCCTTATGCCATATTAAAGCCTGAAAGATTTAAAGGCTCAGGCTATGGGTAAGAGAGATAAAGTTATTTTTATTGTTATTATGAAATTTAATTATTTTAGCCCTAAGAAACAGATTTCATTTTAACAGTGATATTTTCCCACAGGAAATAAACAATCCACTGTGTTCAAAGATTTAATACAAATTATCTTTAATTTTCTCTTTTGTTTTTATGTCCACTTACAAAATGCCTCTCTGTGGCTATCATTAGTTAAATGATAAAGAACTTAATAAAGACTATAAATAGGCCAACAGTTGTGACAAAGCACAGTAGCTTCTTTAAAGCCTGACATTAATGAACAAACTTACATGGCTACACTTTACTGTTCTAAGGCAATTAGCACTTGCTGAATACCTACTATGCTAACAGGCTAATAGGTACTGAATTATCCTTCACAAATGCTAACACATCCTTTCCTCTGCTATCTGTGCTCCATCAAAGATTCTTTTTTTAAAAACAAAAAAATCTAACCAGCTGCTGGCGAGTCAATTCTGACTCATGGCAAGCCCATGTGTTTCAAAGCAGGACTATGCTCTATGGGGTTTTCAATGGCTATGGTCTTTCAGAAGTAGATCGCCAGGACTTTTCTCCAAGGCACCTCTGGGTGGCTTCAAACTTCTAACTTTTTGGTTAGCAGCCAAGCACTTAACCATTTATGGCAGCCACAGTCTCCTCAAAGATTCCTACGGTATAGTTATATTCATTTTCAGGAGACTGGTAGAGTTGACAATTAAGGAAATTATCTTTATGCAGGAATAAAATGGTTAATTTGAGTAGCATCCACGCAGTTGTAGCAGATCAGGTACCATAATAAAACTCTTCAACAGAAAGAATACATATAAAACTATATAAATATTTCACTTACAGAGGAATACTCATATTGTCCTTTGGCATGAAGAAAATGGCCCCAGTAGTTCCATCTCTGGAAGTGTCATCAGATTTGTGGCTATGAGATTTAGCAGGCCTGAGGTATTCTCTTTTCAAAACACGACTATTAGACAGTTTACAAGCTACGTTCAATTCGTTGCCCATTCTGTCTGTCTTATGTAATTCCTTAGATTGCCATGGGCTTCCCTTTCTTTCAAAGAACATGGTGACAGGTCGGTCCTTCAGGGGTGCATGAGCAGAGGGGCTGTCTTCTGGGGCAAAAGCAGCATCTTTTAGGGTTACTGATGGGAGCCCTGGCACACTGGGTTCTCCCTTATTTAGAGTATTTAGAATGAGGAGAGAAGATGGCCTGTCTACTGTTTGCTTTGATTGATGGAGAGAGGATGCCAGGAAAGACTCTCCAATTCTTGATTTTTCACTTGTCTTAAAGGCTTTACGTTCTTTCTCTAAAATATCCGTTTGCTGGCGAATTTGTTTCATCATCTCTTTTTCATTCTGCTGCTGCAATTGCTTTTGTCTTTCTTCCTTCTCAGTGTTTAGCTTTTCCAACTTTTCAAGCATATTATTAGAAGAATCTGTATTCAAAGAAGCAACAGCTTGATCTTCTCCCGAGAAGTAGTACTTTCGGGCTTCCCTGTTAATATCCAAGGTAAGAGGTGTCCCTAGAGTTTCTTCACTTCCCAATAGTCTGTTTCTCTGAATACTTGTATCTAACTGGGAACTTAGTTTCAGTGGGTCTTGTTGGGGAATATAAAAAAATGTGGGGAGACTATTTGAAATAAAGGAATCTCTCAGCTGTGGTTTACAGGTAATAGATTCAGAACTACAGACCAGCTTTTCCTTCACAGTCCCATTCTTCAAATGCTCTGAGTCAGACGGCCTTGAGGCACAGAGGGCATTATCCTGTAAATCAAATTCTGGTCTGCAGCTAGGTATCCTAGGTGACGGAACCTTCAAGTCTCCTTCATCTTGAATTATGGACTCTAGTTTGCTCTTTTGGCTTTCTTCACAGCTCAGAAGTTCCAAGCTTCCTTGAGAACTTCCACTATCAGGTGTACCCTGCAGAGATTGAAGGCTTTCAGGCATCAGTTCTGCAGACCATCTCCGTTCTTCTGTAGGAGATACACCACCAAGAGAACGGACTTTTAGCAATTCTAAGCTAAATATAGCTTGCTCCAGTTCTCTCATTCTCCGACTTTCTCTTTTGGCCCGGCCTACTTTTTTCTGGTGGAGATCCTCCAAGGACTTGGGTCTCTCTCTCACAACCACACCTTCCTGCAAGTCCACACCACTTTTGCTTCTGGCTCTTTCCTGTCGCTTGTTTGGGGACTCCTTGGAGTAGTCTCCTGAACTTTCATGGCTGATTCGATTATTCTCTATCACAGATTTACTTTCCTCTATGGCTTTAACTCTGTTGTCAAACGAACAATCTTCCCACTCTGTAGGGTCTGAACCCTGAATCTCCAGAGATCCGTATGTCTTGATATTCACCAATCCAAATTCTTGTTTTGTTTCTTTCAGTCTTTGTTCCTTTAAAGACTTAAATCTATATAAACACAGGAAAAAAAAAAAATAGGTTACAGATATCTATGGGCGACCACTACAGAGAATACATTTACTGAGACTAACTTGGAAACACATTTCATAATTCTCCTGTTTTTATCAGTGAGATGATACTGTTACTCAGTGCATTATTCTCAGGTGGGTATGCTATTCAAAACATAAACTAACTCAGAAATAAAGCTCTCATTTTAATATTATTATTACTATAAGGTGAACCATATGAAATTTAGGTTTCTAAAGATAAAAACAGGAGAGCTCGGTAGCACAGTGCCTAAAGCACGTGACTGCTAACCAGAAGGCTGGCGGTTCAAACCCACCTGGCGGTTCAAACCCACCAGCCAATCCTCGGAAGGAAGATGGGGCAATCTACTTCCGTAGTGATACTGCCTTGGAAACCCAAGGAGGGGCTGCTATGAGTCGAGTCCAACTCGATGGCACATAACAACAACAACAACAACAAAGATAAAACCAGTTAAATAGTGCCAATTTTATCAGTTTCAACTTAATGGAAAAGTTAATCCTTAGCAGCTATAACCACAGACCATCTAGGTTTTTGATCCAATTTAATTCAATAAAGCTTACTTAGCTTCTATTATAGGCCAGGCAGTGTGGGTTAAAACTACTGAGTCTTTTTTTCTATTCCCTGTTCCTGGTTGAAACTCTGCTCACCCCCGACAATTCAAGGTTGTTTTTTGTTTTGTTTTGTTTTCTTTTTTTTTTTTTCCCTTTTTCCCCTATTTTTTTGTTACCTTGTGACTAACCACATTTTTTTTTTTCT